ATCTGTCAGCAGTTTGACTTATGAAGGCCACAGGCGGTGCTTCGGCGAGCTTGTCGTCTGTGGCGGCGCCTTCGTTCTTTCACTGGTGATTAGCTGCTGTATTTGTCTTCTGGAATCGGCTATTATTCTGTATTTCACTGCTACCATGCTACTACTATCAGCTAGCATCTTCGCAGCATTACTCTGCTTGATATTCACTACTGTATTGATCAGAGACATGAGCACGGTAAGTTATAAAAGTGAATAGAAATGCTCATTTCTGTGGTGTTTGCTTGCTGGAAGAGCGCACTTCTATGACCGTATGGGATCATAAAACGCTTTTTCCACAGTTGGCTCACATCATGACTTTGTGAAGATACAATCGGAATGCAGTACTCTCTCGTTATTCTATTCACTTTTGTATGTGTATTGCTGCTACTATATAATACAATACTTATTTGAAGATAGCTTCGTTACTCGACTTTTCTTGTTTAATTGAACTAGCAAGCTTCCCGCTGTTTGATATTCAACACCAGTACTCTTAGTATTGTCTCTTTGCCATTATGAACGCATCCATCTTGCAGAGAATCCCGGATCTGTCCAACATTATGTCGTAGCGATTTTGCGAGAAACGCTACGACATAATGTTCGACAGTGCACATATTGTACCGTTTGTGCGTTTCTGGAGGACCCCTTCTCATATTCGAGAATGTTTGACCTTGTTTTATGAGTAGTTATAGACGGCATAACGTTGCCGCATCATGACATTCCCCAACATAATTACGCTTGAGGGACGTGAACGGTGCAAGCGGCCGTTTGCGCGTCCTCGCTGTTTCACTTGGAGCATGTGCCGAGTCCAGAAGACGGTGCGGAGCCCGCCTCGCACAATGCGACAACAAAAGACAATAAGCATAAAGAAATCATGAACGAGCTCACAACACACAGAAATTTCGCTCACAACATATTGTATACACTAGAGATTCTTTATGAATTAACGGATCACAGAAATTACCCGTCCCCAGAATTGTGTTCGTTCGACACTCTTTAAGTGTGTTACTTCTCCCGAACTTATAAAATTTCACGAAGTTATTACGCTCTATTTTCAGGGTTTACCGGCTCCAACAGCCGTTGATGTTAATTTCAGCAATGCAGCTGCACAGGTAGGTCCTTCCATTCCTGCTTCCGTTCCTGCTACACTTCCTGCTTCGCGGTCATCGACACAAGAACGTAACTTCCGGAGGTAACCAAACCTTTACCGTAACCCCTTGGCGTCAAATAGACTTATTGTGCAGATGAAATGCACACCACACTGCAATTCACGCCAATGATTTCGAATTTCAGCGAACAAACATCACGCCAAACCTTTCACAGTAATCGTGAAACTGCTGAAAAGTGGGAAAGAGGAAAGGAGGTCATAAGGCGCTGTATCGTTAGTGTTTTCGATAGCATTGCTACAGCAGATTCATTACATTTGCGTTGTTGAATTCGTAAACTCTTCTTTAGATGGGCGCTGATGTCGTCGGGTGAGGAATCGTGCGGACCGAACCGGTGAGGGGAGGAACTATGGGAAAAATCAAAATTACTTACACTCCCATTCTCTAGTTGCCCTATGGCTCAGTTTCAAGGCGACATAGGGAGGGGGATTGTTGGCTGTATTGATTCGTTCATTCTGAGACAATGTTAAGCATACAATCACGAGTGAACCTATCTCTATGGTGTCAACATTGAGGATCGCTGAGTGTAAGCGTCTGTAAGCGCAGCGATGCACCGCACGCGAACTCACATTCCGATGACATGACCTGCTTCGACATGAAGCTGCGGCCTGGATGAAGAACCACTCTGTGGATATTACGAACTTTCTACAACTGGCGATGGCTCCTGGTATGAAAGGAAACTGAACCATTCAGTTCGGAAAAAGTCTACGCTTGGAGTCACTGAAAGCTTTTGCTCCTCTCGTGAAAAGAAATGCTACGATGTAAAGGCAGAAATTATTGAAATGCGCCTGTTTTTGAGCAAAGCTCCCCTGTAGATGACTGCACGCTCAACTGGGCAAAATTGAATTCGTAGTGTACAGGATACTGCTAGGAAGCACAGTCAATCTTTCCTAACCTTCCCACATATTAGCATATTATACAGACTTCGAATCCTTCGATATGGCTGTTCCCAACATGTCTATAATGCATTGCATCATCAATCACCTCTGAGAATCTTTATCGAGCAAATTGATCTCACATCATGTTGCGTCACAATCGATGGCGTAAGGTTTGGTGTAAGTGTGCATTTTTTCTGCACAACACAGTTTATTTGACGCCAAGGGATTACGGTAAAGGTTTGGTTACCTCCGGAAGTTACATTCTTGTGTCATCGACATACAAAGGACGAAGAGAGGTAAGTAAAATGGGAAGAAGAGATGTTTTAACTTATAAAATTCCAGGTACCATGACTTCGTATGTGTTCGCTTTGGCCAGGAGAAATCAAAACTCGGACGTATATCAATGTGTATCGTGCAAAAGGATGAATGTTTGGAGAACGATTAAGGTAAGGTGTAAGTGACAGTTTCTGCACACTCCTGCACTTTTCCTGCACACATCCTGCGCTTTTCCTGCACACATCCTGCACTTTTCCTGCACAAAACGTGTGCAGTATATGTGCAGGATAGGTGCAGGACTTGTGCAGGACGACAAGTGCAGGAATTTGTGTAGTTACATAACCAAAACTGCATAAAATATATGTAATGCTATCCATGTTAAGGCTATCGGAGACGAATTTCTTGGCGACCCTTGCGAGATCGGACACGTGTGCGCGCCCACTTAAGCAGGAGAAGACAAGGCGAGGAGGATTGGATACGGGGTGAAGTCGATGACTATTCGCTCATACGAAAATTGTATAATTTCCGCATCTTCCAGAAGGTGCAGGAAGTCAACAGGAGCGCCGTTATATCTCAAGGTGCGTTTCTTGCTATGGTCAGCCAATAGAAGCTAACCATCGTTTCACCAATAACATCGGTGAACGACCAATGAAATAACCATAAGGAAGTCACTCGCGACCCCGAAGCGACCATTCATGTAAGAGGGACACCATACACGACAACCACTAAAGCTGTTCGTGCGATTTCGATCCTCGTCCATGGACGTTGGGCTAAAACACGCCTACATGAATGGAAACAAAGGGAAGTTGCGAGTAGAGTGATTGCTGGCAACACCTCAGGAAATCCTGACTGTATCTGCCTCAAGGATTCTTCTCCTGGCGGGCCCAGGCCCCGGCCCCGCACGGGGCACGCGTCTGTGGCGTCAAAGGACAGGATGGGTCTTCCTCGAAGTACTGCAAATTCTGGCGTGCGGAGGCGGATTCACTACAACAAAAACGCGACGTGCCATCCAGGCTCGAAACATTGGCAAGATAGCAATCAAACTAGTGCCAGACTGCGGCGGCCCGCACGCAGCCGGGCGCGGGCGCAGGGCCAGCAATAGCAGATGAGCGGGGGGGCCGGCACACGAGCGGCGCGCCTAGGTGGGCCTCCCGGGCCTCCCTCTTGCCCCCGTGCGCCTAAAAGAGACTTCGCTGAACATAGTTAGTCTTCGGCTTCGTGGACTACTGGCGCACTTGGGCTCATGGTCAATAGACATGACGAAGTGGCCAGAGTAATCTACAAGTCCCTAAAGAAGAAATACGGTCTCAACTCAGTAGTAACGAACACACACGTTCCTCATGTTGTTGAAGGGAACGACGTAGTACTACACTGGAACGACCGTATACTCACAACAGAGTATATCAAACATGATAGACCTGATATTGTGGTTAGGGACAACAAAGCGAAGACTATATGGATAATCGATATAGCGGTTGCTTGGTACACTAGGATTACCGAGCAAGAAAAGAAAAAGATCTGTAAGTACGGGGTGAACAGTTGCCTGCCGCAAAACACGAGCATAGACGACTATCACCCCGGATCCAACTTGAAGGCGGATCTGCAAGCGCAGCATGGAATGAGCGTAGAAGTTGTACCAATCGTAGTAGGAACTTGTGGCGAATGCTCAGCCAATCTACGACGGTACGTACGATTGCTTAATTTACCAGACAAAACTGAAGCAATCATTGAACGAATGCAAAGATGCGCTGTGCTTGGTACTCACAGGATCATAAAAAGCCACCTGTCCAAAGGAGACGGGTGGTGAGAAGCAAACTGGCTCACAGTTGAGGCTTACCAAGATCCAGCCCATGTGAACAGTTGCTTTCATTCGTGTGCTCAGGTACGAACAAATATCGAGTCGGATCCGTGGTTAATTGCGACCATGGAGAATCCCGCATCTCCACAAAGTCGTGAGGTGGCAGGGAACGGCTCAGTGGGTTGTGGTTGTGGAGGGTAATCACCCACTGTCCCTAACTACTATCTAGTGCCGGCCCACTGCTCTTCACTACCATGTGCAGCCGCTTTCCGCGCTGCACTCTTTGCTGATTTGTATTTGTAATTTCCTACCTTTACATGCTGTTCTATTGGTAATTTTGATGTTACTGGCCTTGTTGTGTTTACTTTTATAACCAATAATAAATCATGAAACATGAATCATGAGGAGCAGATCAGGAAACTCCACTATACATGAACATTTTGTCTTTCCTTTCAATGGCATAACTCTATTCAAAGAAATTTTAAGCAGAGCGATGTACATTTGTATTTCTTAAACTGTGGGCTTCTTAAGCTCCGCAGCTGCTTTTTTCTTTTTTTTGCTATCAAAGGTCATTACTTCGAATAATTGTCGACCGGGATCAAACGCTAATTTTTAATCTTCCAATGGAGATCACTTCTTCCGAATTTGATTTCATGCAAGTGTGTTAGCGGCGCCCAACAACAGAATCCCAATCACAAATAGGTATATCACGTTTGAGAAGGATCATGAACCGTAGTCGTAATTCGAGTCACTTCAAAGAGGAGTTTGAGCAGTCCTCATAGCAATGATATGCGCTCCACAGCAGTGGCGCGCTCCATAGCCAATTGAATTTCTTCCCGGTTTTTGCATGGACTTATGGAGATTTTTGAGTCGAAGATCGATGAGTTAATTGATCTGCGTGATGGATTTTTCGAGAAGAATCCGAATGGTACAGAAGCGGAACGGGTGAAAACTGTGCGGGAGCGAGCACTTCTCCTTCTAGAGGTATGTTCATTGATTACTGGAGTTTTACAGTGGTTTTTGAGAGTATTTCGATACCAACGTATACGCTCTTTGCGCAGGTGACTCAGAGTCAAAGTAGCGCTCGGTTTTGGGACTGATTTCGAGACCAAGGGTGAGGGACCAAAGGTTGCGTATGCACTTTTCATTTTCGGCATTGTACCTCCTCGCAATCATCGCTAGCGTATGTTATTTCGCTGTTAAACCCTTGAGGGAAAATCTTCTGGGCGAATCGTTGGAGTTTTTCTATTCTATTTCCGTTATTCTATTTGTCTTTGAGCCAACACCCCGAACAAGCGCAGGCCGAGTTTTTGGTGCACTTCACTTCTTGCCACGAGTTCGTAGTGAGTTCTTGTTTCATTCGCCCTTCGGCTGCAGCTTGAATGTGGAAATATAATTGTTGCTGGCTAGTCAGAGGTAACCTAAGTCCGACGTCATACTTTGCGATTCGCCAGCGATTCGCTAATCGAATCGCAAAGTATGTGTCGGCCTAATCAAGTCAACAGTCAGTTTTTGTTACTCGAAGGATCCAATTGAGCGATAGGCCGCTTCTGTAGTCGGCCATCCGAGCGTTGCGATTGCATAGCATTAGATAAGTATTGATCGTCCAATACGTCAGAACGGACCATCGGTTCGTGGCTGATGCTGTGCGGTCGTTAAAATCGGACACCGACTGTGACTATGCCCATACAGTCACTTTCGATTTTAAACACATTGACGACAACGCGGGGGATATATATCCCGCGCATTGCAGGCCATGTCGGACCGTGCGGATATATATCCCCCGCACCCATTACACTCATTTTTTTCGCGCACGCCTGATTCTTTTAGAAGTTTCTTGTATTCATTCCATGGAAGAGACCTTGACGTAGCTACAAACATAGTGGCCCTTAGAATGGTCACGTATACTTTAATTTAGAGGAGGATTTCTGAACCATACGAAATCTTCATTTCAATAAATTTTTCGTTTACTTTTTCTTTTTATGAATGTGAAGATTTAAATAGTAGTAGAAGTAGATAATAAACCTTAGGGATGACAATATGTGTGTTTTGATCGGAATAATCAAGCGTAAAATAAACAAAAATACAAAAATAGCTTTGAGGTCCATTGCAGCTAGTTCTGACCAATTTCGCTTTTTCATTGTTACTCCATGTCTTTCGATCGAAATTCCACTACTGTACCCCTGGTAGGTTGCGCTCATTACAATTTACTGATTTGGTTTTGAATTGATCATTAGTTGTGTATTTATCACTCAAAATCTGCTTGAACGACCTGAGGCGAGCGCGCCCGCAAAATCGCCGCGGTCCCACGTGGCCAAAAAAGCCAAAACTCGCGTTGTCGTCAATGTGTTAAAGATCAGGGATTGTCAGTATTCGTTGTTCCCACGTGTCGGCACATTGTGTGGTGAAAAAAAAATGACGGATGGATTGAAAATGAGGCAAAAGTAATTTGAAGCGCACTCCTAAATGGGCTGAAACAAAAGGGAATATAAATACATAAGTACATGCAACGCGGCCCAACAATGACCACTCCGCTGATGAACGTCAAAGACAATTCTCACAAGTAAGGAACTTGTTCTGTAAGGATAACCTTCGTGATACACAGGCTATCGGCTCACCGAGGGGTGATTACGGAACATGTGACAATGTTTTTCTAAATGCTCGGGTGATAAGAGACAAATTGTTAACTAAAGCGCTAGCCACAACTCTGCTGCAACTCTTTGGCCAAAGCAAAGCATGCTTCTAAACTACCACTACGATTTGGTAAGGTTCGGGTACGAAGCGTGTCTCGACGCCAAGATCTCATATTCTGTTATAAATGTCAAGATGTCCTGTCTTTCGCTTCTTGTTCGAAGTGATTAACAATTTTTACGTACCTTAAAAATTGCCAGAGAATTTTCCAGCTGACGCAGAAAATACGTGCGTTAAAAAATTACAACGATTAGCTGCTTGATACGCGTACGCGTGCTGCACATGGGGTGTCACGATTTTTTGAGTATATTGTCTTTTTCTCATACGCTACTATCACTTGACCCTGGTTATGAATGCCATTGGCGCTGTATTATTTCTTCAATATTACTCCAAGCAGTTAGCATGTTTAGGATGTGCCGTTGTCGGGATTTCCCCGCTCTGCCGTCAGATATCTTCAATGTGGGCGTATTCTGAACGCATGTGTTGCTTACGATCATCGCTGTGAGGAGCTTTTGAGTAAGGCCGTAAAACTAGGTAAATTGACATACATATTTACTTGAAATTGCGGGTGGAATTTTGAAAGCTAGTTCATTAAATGACAATGACACGCTTAGATCCTGATGCGCTGGCATGGCTGGAGCTCGGGATATGTTTATCGAAAAAGCCCGACATTCAGTTTGCCATCGAGTGCGTTGAGGTACGGATAATGCTTTTCACGAAATTATTCGCGGATCTTCTCATACTATTTGAGTATGTCACAGTTTGTTGTATTTCGGTGGGGCTATTATTGGCTAGAGGACCTAAGTGAATTAGGGGCTTATCAGCGGTGTTTGGGCAGGTCACACTTTTCCGCATTTGCGATCGTGTGCGCCATTCTTTGGACTCAGAAAACTCGTTCTTTCTTATATTAGGCTTGCCTGGGAGGGGAAAATTCGTAGGGTATTTTTCCATAGCCTGCTAAAGAAACATCTAATACGGCTCTGGGGTCACACTGAGCTCCTTTATGGTGTTTCATAGAATCTTTGACGATATCCATTTCAAGGGTGCCGTACGTAGGCGGGGTGAAGAGAAGTTACTTCGCATAGGTGCTTCAGATTCCGGAACACTACATCCATTTTCTAGGAAATAACTTCGAGTATTGAGCATTAGAAGAATTATTCCTCATGCAGATGAAGGTTTCAGTTGTAACGCCGGCTCAGTAACTCGAGCGTATTGTCGCCCACGACAAACGTACCACGCTTTCTATGTCTGCTTTCCGTGTGCTCAAAACCTATCTAAAACTGTTGTCTCGCTGAGGTATCCGACCGGCTTCATAAGCTGCATCGCTCCGTGAGGCAAGATATAGACATTCTTTCTTTTTGGGCTGTTTATCATAATCAGATACGAGACCCGCTCGTGTTTTGAAGAGTACAAAAATTTTGAACATCTTTCTCCTTTTTTAGGCAAACTCACTCAATCACTGTCATCTGTATAATCCTTAGATGATCTTTAATATCTTTCGAAATAGTACATGCTGCTCTGAAGATGATTTGAAAGTAATCTAAGGACTCAGGCAGTTTTTCTGGCTTTTTTGGGCACTGTCAGACTTTATAAATGTTTATTTGGACTTGAAGGATTTGGCAATTTAGTATTTTCTAATGCTTACCATTCTTCCCCGGCAGCAGCGAGCATTTTCTCTGCATAAGCTTTACGTCTTCTGCGTAGCTTTGCTCTTTGACAGAGGTCCATCCTGCGCAGGGAACTCTGTTCACGATAAGGTTTCTAATTATTATCACAGTCATGCTGGCCTCATAATGATACTTCCAACACCGGAAACAGACCTTAGGCGGGATGTGAAACGCCTTGCTCTTCCTTCCTCCTCCAGTTTTCCAACGGCAACTTTCCGTGTAGGTGGTCGAGACAGTGCTCAGTTGAGTTCATTCAAACATTACAGTGAAGTGCTTACAAAGTAGCACCATCCAAAATGCTATAACTAATGATACCCTCAACTTTAACTTGAAGGCCATCAAGGTTGGCAGTCGTTCGCTTCCCCCTCCCCCTTCTTCCTACTTCTTCACACCCCTCCGTCCACCTATGCCAACCGGTAGCCCATTAAATCACCGAGACTTTGCTCTCGTGTGTTTTTCTAATACATATGGCAGTTGCGGGATCATTACTAGTTGCCATCTCGAAACATCGATCCGCAAGGCCTGCAGGCTGCTTGATTGTGTTAGCTGTGGGTTTTCAAATAACGTTCTTCACAAACCTCCCTTGTATAATATTTTGAGTTAGTTCGCTAGGACTGAAATGGCCTTCGCTTTTCGCACGTGTAACTTTTTTGCTGGCTGAACCTCAGGTCCGCCCATAATCGGCGATGGACCTGGAGTTCCCACAGCGAAAAAAGCTCCGCGTTTAATTTGAAAAGTTGAAGTTCAGAAAGTTCTAATAAAATTGAGTGATACGTTTGAATTTCTCAGAAAGCGTTCCTCACAATTGGCCTTTGAAGCTGTTGCGCTTGATCCGAAGTGTGGCTCAGCACACTCATGTTTGGGAAATTCGCTTTTTCTCGAGTTTTTCAACACTGGACAAGTCAACGAAGATCTGCTTGTGAGTTCGGGAATCAATCCTTTCTTCATTCGGTTATTGTGTTAGCAATAATAGATGACTAGATGACTAGTTATCTTATTATTTACAAACGCTTTCAGAAGCAAGCTTGCTGTGAGTATCGGCTTGCGCTTCAATGTGGGAAAGAGTATCGCAACGCCGATCTGCATCTCAACGCTGGAGCTGCTTTCCGGTATCCCTTTTTCACTAAATTACTTTCTTTAAAGTGAAGATTGCATTTAACTTCCTTAATGGGTCACTTTTTGTTTTTTTCTCCATTTCTTCCCCATATTATGTTTTCTATAAACTTTCATACACCTATTCTTGCGGTCTGGGAGTTTATGAATAGTTCTACTTGCCATTTTTTCATCACTTGCATGGACATCTTCCATGTTGTTTGGCCACTACCTTCGATCCTCCATCCAGTACATTTCATTGGATGCTTGCAAGCCTGCTATGAGCCCTTATAATCTTTTTGAATTACTCTTTTACTCCTTTATGAAACAGCTTGCGTTTTCAGGGGCTACTTCTTCCTTTTTTTCCAATGAAATAAGCACATTTCGTATAATCGATTCTTTGTTCACACATTTTCTCGAACAGCATTATGGTGATTAACCATGTGTTGAGATATTTCATTCCAAATTCTTTTTCTGAGCACACTAGTAGAGATCGTGTGTGTGCGTTTTTATAGTATTATGAAGTTGTTTGTGGGTTCGCTTTCTAATCCTTTTCTCAGATAGTTGTAATTTTTCTCTCATTTAGCTATGAAGAGAACTATACTGAAGCGTTAACCCATCTTCGACTAGCAGTGAAATATGATCCGAGTGATGTCATCGGCTCCCACGGACGTTTGTCATCATTCACGCAATTTCTGACTAACGTCGCTTCGGGTATTCAAACTGCAGGTAATTACTTGTTATTTAAGGTTTGGTAGTGGATCAGTGTGCTGCGAAGTGAAAGTAACACTCAATTATGCTTGAAACAAATAGAAAAGGAAGCTCTTCAGTTGGGCATTCCACGCACGGATAATTAAGATAGTGATCCTTGTTACACGTGCTTGTCGAAGAGTCTGTTTTGTGAGTGGGACAGAGTAGCCTACGAGTGTCGCTGTCGCGGTTCGAAAGTGCGCGACTGCAGCGCTGGGGCCTTACAAAGTATTCAGATGGCTACTAATGTGAACCTACGGACAAGACAGCTCGGGCTCACTCTCGAGACGATTAAGACGTAGCGGATCAAATAGATAAAGCGGATAGATAGATGTGTTCAACATCGCATGGATGCGGTTGCGTTCAAAGAAACTCATTTAGGGACGTCCTTCCAGCCGCCATTACAATCACTGTTAGCCCGCCATTTGAACTGGGGTTGTTGCTTTAATGTTAGGGTGAACGATAGGTCCTTTTTAAATTCGCTCCGCCAGAATGCTCGATTGCGAAGAAGTTGAACTGCGTGGCAAATGACCACGGCAAATAGTAACCAAGCATTCCACTCGATTGAGTTTTTGAGAGCAGTTTCTCGAAGAGACTAGTTCGTATGGTCAGTGAATTTTGTGGATAAATATTGAAAAGATTGAGTGGTATAATAATTTTAAGAAGATATTTGTTCCCGATCTCTTTTTATCCATTTACACTAGGCGTGGTTGTATCATAACGTCAGGATTACAGCGCGTCTTTATACAACTTGGGCCTATCACACGTGTTCAGTTGGTGGAGTATGACAGTTTTTCAGTTCGGTATTTTCATAGACGCTAGTCGACTGTTCTAATACAAATCATTGCAGGCGGCCTGCGTGCCAAGCGAATCGTTGAATTCAAAACATCGCTACCGAATGCTTCTTCTATGAACCCGTTTGCGGACCATAGGCTCGTGACTAGTTTCAAGGACTTAGTAAAAGGACCGAACAACGGAGTCGCTGTTGTAGGAAAAATAGTATCGACGGTATCTCATGAGGAAATTGTGCCAGTGTGAGTTCTGGCTTGAATCTGTGGGAAACTTTAGCAATGATATTGGAGGGGTAATCCAACGCTACCAGAACTAGCCATTTACATTCAGGACGTCAATAATGATGGATGCAGACGGTGAATGCATTGCCGTTTCTGTCTATAATTGTGCCCCATCGTTAACGTTTTTCATTGGAGATACAGTGGCTGTTGCTGATCCTCATGTTACAGAAGTGGAGGTATTCTGATTTCTTTTTCTTCATTTGCTCCGATGGAGTAGAATGTTTTTCGTTCAGAACTTGGATCTAGCCAATTCGTCTTCTGTGTCATTTCGATCTTTGCGAGTGCCGAGTCCGTCGAAGATCTCTCGTAACGGTGGTCTTCCGAAATCTACACAACTTGCTCCATCACATTTGAAGATCTCCGCATTGTAATTAGTATAAAAAAAACGTCAAATCGAAGATATTTTCTTTGCTGGAGTGGAACATTTGGAAATTATTATGTTCTGAAAAACTATCCTGAATTTTCCTTGCGCGTAATGGTGTACTGACATTATTTTATTATGGCAGTACCGCTCACCCTAACCCCACTTGGGAGGTTCTTTACAATCCTGAAAATGCATTTCAAAAATTTTTCCCTTATCCCTGCGACACCGTAGGTCGAGCCAACCTTATCTCAACGTTACCTCTTCACTTAAGGTTGAGTGCTTATGGTTAGAGTTGGTCTCCTTGAGTTGCGCAGCTCGATCGGTATCCTCGGAATTTCTGTGGTTTGATCCCGGATAATACATGTGATGTGATAGTGCACGTGATAGTAACGCTACTTGTTACTGCCCTACTACGTCTTACTCGAAACAGTTGGTTCAGTATTATTACCGAGCGCAAGGATCCAGTTCTTGCACTCGGTAGTAATACTGAACAAGTTGAGAACAGTGTTTATGAAAAGATTGGTGGGATATCTGCTTTTCCTATCGGGGTTCTTGATGAAATAAATATATAAAATGATGTACGAAAGTTATTCACGTAATTCTCTGCGTTTTCACGCTGTGAGCTGGCACAGTGAGCTTTCTGCGACTCGGCGATGCAGCAAATCCTTCATTCAATAATTGTATGTATTCCTTCAGAGTGATCGCCATGCCTCCGATTCATTGAATTTCCCACATCTCGAGCTGTGATTCGGTCCAACCGACAATCTGCTGGTCATTGCTGCGAAAACGCGAAATGAGAGTAGGAATACAATCTCAAGAAAACGATCACAATGCCGGTAAAAGGATGAAGGGACATTTGGAAAGGACAAGAAAGAATGGAATTGGAGTTGCGGATGGGCGTAAATAGATGGTTGCAAAGCTTCTGTTGACATAAATTACTCGCACAAGGGGC